GTCCAGCCGCCGCCTGGAGAAACCCGGGGCGCGGCTGTCCGGAGGGCCCGGGACCAGCCGTGGCCACAGACGGGGACCGGGCTCGCCGACAGGTTTTTTCGCTCATCTGACATCGTGTGTCTGGCAAATGACGTGGCTGAGATGCTGGGAGAAAAGTCTGCCTCCAGCTTATTTTAAGGGCTGTGGGAATGGCTCTCGTGCGTCCCCCAGTGAGAAACCGGAGCTGCGAGCCACCCCAGCCGGGTGCTGACGGTGCTCGGTGCTGGGCCTGGGCTGTCCGGTCAGAGGGGGAGGGACCCCAAAGGAAGGAAGCCCCCTGTGCCCTTCACGGGGAAGAGACTGTGCCTTTGTCAGTGGCAGGAAGCCTGACAAGACCGTGCCTTCCCCTGAGGTGGTCGTCCCTGGCCCTGTGGGGAGGTCCCCACGGCCTGTGCTCCTGCACTGCTGTCTCCCCTCCGCCTGGTTGGTGCCCACCCCGCCCGAGGGGCCGTAGTGGCTACGAGCACTCATGGGGACAACTTGGCTCCTCTTACTTCGTGGGGTGATACTAATGGCAGGCGCATTGCCACGTGGTGTACCCAGATGTGGCAGTGACAGGGTGGGTTCGGGGAACCAATGTCTTTACCGCCAGAGCCAGCTGAATGGCCTGAGTGATGTGCAGACCGTGTGCATCGCCGAGAAGGGCGGCCGGGCCCTGCTTGCCTTTCCTTCCCCGGCGGGCATGGGGCGGGAGTGGGTTGTCCCTGTGGTGGCGTGTAGGTCAGTGTCATAGCCAGGACTGTTTCTGTTACACCCTGTGTGCTCAGTTGACTGACCTGCAGAGGTGGGGATCCAAAGAGTGTGGGAATTGAGAGTTGGGGTCCCCCTTCCCTGTCGAGCTTGGACTCTGGCTCAGGGGTGCTCTGTGTGCTCTCGAGGTGGTGGGATCTGAGCATGCTGCCTGGGGTTTTCCTTAGGTGGCTGTGGTGGACCTGATTTGGCTCTGGCTCTGTGTGCAGAGCAACACTGAGCTCTCAGCAGAGCCAAGAGGGAGGGTGTGTCAGCAGCAGAGGCCTGAGAGTGGTTGGGGCGGGTACCCCTGAGAGCTGGAAGGGCATTGGTGACAAGGGTGCTGCCAGGCCTCAGTTCCACCTCCTCTGAGTCTTAGACCACCTTAGAAGGAGAGGGACTGCCCTTGCAGTGACAGAGGACACAAGGTCAGGGGCCAGCTGGACTGGAGCCACGGGACAGCTGGGTGTCTTGCAGGACTGCCCCAACACGAGCTGGGGCTGGGGGCAGGCCTGTGGGGCACCCACTAAGCACTGTGGGAAGGTGCTGTTTGGGCCCGTGGGGGAGGAGCTGGCAGGACCCTCTCCAGGCCACATTCCACGCGTGGCCAAGGCTGAGCAGGGAGCAGCGAGGTTCCCCACCCAGGTTTGAGCAGCTGTCTGCAGCGGGAAGGTGTGTCTGTACATTCGTGTGTTACATTTGTTACAGTGGAGTCAGTGTGGATACATTATTAGCCAGGCCCCTGGTTTTCATGTGGTGCTGGATCCTACAGGATGGTCTCCGCGCTCCACCTACTTGTCCCTTTTAACCCGTCGCTGCCCCTCGCTTGGTCCTCCCCACGGGTGGGGGTGGGCAGCAGGTGTGACCTGCACCTCTGCCTGCTCCGCGCCCCCACCCTTGGCTGGAGCAGGGCCTCTGCACTCTGAGGATCTCCCTGGTGTGGAGGCTACATTTCAGTTTCCTCAACTAAAAGGGATGAGAGAAGAAACCCTAGAAGAACCTGGTGCATGCGCTCCTGGCTGCACCTGGTTGCTCCTGGCCTGTGGAATCCACACGTCCCCGCTGGGCTGCCCTCTGACGGGGCTGCCGCCCTGTGTCCTGCAGCACTCACGTGTGGACCCCGAGGAGCTCTTCACGAAGCTGGACCGCATTGGCAAGGGCTCCTTCGGAGAGGTGTTCAAGGGCATCGACAACCGCACCAAGGAGGTGGTGGCCATCAAGATCATCGACCTGGAGGAGGCCGAGGACGAGATTGAGGACATCCAGCAGGAGATCACTGTGCTCAGCCAGTGCGACAGCCCCTACATCACCCGATACTTTGGCTCCTACCTGAAGGTGCTTGGGGGCGGGGCCTCTGCTCAGGTGGATGCCCAGGGTTCTCTGGGCCTGGGGCTCAACCCAGCAGTCCGTGCACCTTCCTCTGTATTGGAACAGTGGGGAGGAGAGGCGTGATCTGAGGCAAGGGGGCCCCAAAAACTGAGCATGCACACAGCTTCACAGTGGAGTGGGTCCCCAAAATAGCAGCCCTGAGGGCCAGGCAGGTGTGCGGGAGGCCCCTGTCTCATCCTGAGGGGCCCTGGGAGAGACAGCACGAGCAGGGTCTGAATGGGCTGCACGATCCATCATCATGGGCGACGTTTATGAGTCCTCTGGGAGCAACCTGGGACTCCTGCAGCAGAGCCCAGCGCCAGCTCGGGGGCTGCCCAGGGCACATGGTGTGGGTGCATCGAGGCTGAGTGCAGGCTAGGCAGCCATCTTCCCAGCCTGGTATTTGATGGGCTCTTGCAGAGTAGACTTGGCTACTGGTCTGAGCATGTGGTCTGCCTGCAGAGCTGCTGTCATAGGCGTGTGACGGGAGGGGACCCTTTCTTGGAGGGCTCCCTTCAGATCAGAGCCCTGTCGGGGAGTGTGTGTTACAGGGCCCGGGGAGCCCCGGCTCCCTGCCGTGTACTTACAGGCATTTCTCTGGTCCCAGAGCACGAAGCTGTGGATTATCATGGAGTACCTGGGCGGCGGCTCTGCGCTGGACCTGGTGAGGTGTAGACCGCAACAGTGGGCAGCTTGCCAGGGGCAGGACCAGACATAAGGTTGCTGTGGGGTTGTCCCAGCTGTTTCCCTGGGCTCCCAGGGACCTCCTCTGTTCCGTGGTCTTGGTGCATTACGTGTCAGTCAGGAGCCGGCTAAGCCCAAGAGAAGTGCTGTTTTTAGTCCCCCTGGGTGGGTGCTGAGGGTTTTGGGCCTCTGCTGGCCTGTGGGCAGTGGGGGGCAGGAAGATTAGTGCCCCCAATTGTACAGGCTTAGGGGTATGGCTGGGACCCCATGTTCATCTGTTGCCTTCATAGTGGTGAAGGTAGTGTGTGTTCTCTAAAAACAGTCTCCTGACCCACATCTGAAACTTCGTTTTATTTCCAAAGTAGTTGATAGAGTAGGGAGCCCCGCCATCCACAGGTCACCCTCCCCTGGTGGAGAGGTGGTTGAGCCCAGGCCTTGGTGACTGACTGGGTAATGGGAAGGAAGGGTGGGTCGGCCTGTGGAGGGAGCCTGAGGCCCTGCTATCCCTGTGCAGCTGAAGCCGGGCCCCCTGGAGGAGACCTACATTGCTACCATCCTGCGGGAGATCCTGAAAGGCCTGGACTACCTGCACTCGGAGCGCAAGATCCACAGAGACATCAAAGGTCCCTCGGGCGTGGCACCTGCCTGGACCCCCTGACCCTAGAAAGGCCAGGGCACGAGGCGGCAGCTTGCTGTGGACACGAGGCTGGTGGTGCCAGGCGTCTGGGATGTGGGGACCCTTTAGTGCAGTGCCCACTGGCCCCAAGCACAGCCATCAGCTCTGTTGCCAGAATACCTGGCCAGTAACTGGTAGAACATTCTTAGCACCATACCCCCGTATGGCAAAAACACCTACTATGCGCCTAGTGTAAGAAGGGACCCTATTTTAGCCAAAAGTGTACATTCTTCTTTGTGTCAGGTGTGGGCTGGCCCTGCTGAGTGTCCCCGGGAGGGACATGGCTGAGGGGCTGACTGGAGACACAGGCGTAGTGAGGGGAAGGGTCAGGGTCCCCTGCCTGTGGGGGCAGTTGGGAGAACAGGGTAGTTGCTGTGTTCTTGGGATGTGTCATAAAAGGCAAACCGTGGCTGGGCCCTGGAGCTCAGGCTTGGGGGCTGCACAGGGTGGGCCTCTGGTGCTTGCTGGCACTGCCCTGTGGCCTTAGGTCTGAGGGTGGACAGACCTGGCCCCATTTTTGGTCTGCTGGATGGAGGAGAGACAAGCCAAGGTCAGGAATAGCTCTGCTAGTGTCTGCAGGAGGCCAGGTGGCTGCCAGCAGGCATCCATAGCTGTACAAGGGGTGGGGGTCCTAGTGGCTCCAAGGATAACACCCTGCCTTCCTGTTTCGAGCAGCTGCCAACGTGCTGCTCTCAGAGCAGGGTGATGTAAAGCTGGCGGACTTCGGGGTGGCAGGGCAGCTCACAGATACGCAGATCAAGAGGAACACATTTGTGGGCACTCCCTTCTGGATGGCACCTGAAGTCATCAAGCAGTCGGCCTACGACTTCAAGGTGGGCATGGCAGGCGTGAGGGTGGCTGTGCATGGCTCAGGGTGCCTCTGGTGGCAAATGTCCTGTGTGGCTCCGTCCAGGCCGACATCTGGTCGCTGGGGATCACAGCCATCGAGCTGGCCAAGGGCGAGCCTCCGAACTCTGACCTCCACCCCATGCGTGTCCTGTTCCTGATTCCCAAGAACAGCCCCCCCACGCTGGAGGGCCACCATAGCAAGCCCTTCAAGGAGTTTGTGGAGGCCTGCCTCAACAAGGACCCCCGATTCGTAAGCCTTCAGGCCCCTGGCTCTGGGGGTGGGAGGCTAGGATAGTTCCCGCCTTCTGGGGGGGGGTAGGAGCTGAGAGGCGACAGGACCCAAGGACCCTCCCATCCCGGGTCCCACCTGGGGCCCTCCTAGTCCACGGTCTGGGGAAACTTGGAGAGGGGTTTGGCCTGGGATAGAAAGCGTGGAGTCCAGCCCTAGCCTCCTGGTTGCCTCCCCTAGAACCTCTCACTGAGTCCTGCCAGAGAGCCTGGTGGATGCCCATCCCCAGCCTGGTTGCCTGTAGTCCGAACTCCAGGAGTTTGAAGGGCGAGCCTAGCTGTCCCTCGCCCAGTGACGCGTGTGTATTCCCCGCAGCGGCCCACTGCCAAGGAGCTCCTGAAACACAAGTTCATCACGCGCTACACCAGGAAGACCTCCTTCCTGACTGAGCTCATTGATCGCTACAAGCGCTGGAAGTCCGAGGGCCACGGCGAGGAGTCCAGCTCCGAGGACTCCGACATGTAGGCCTGCTTGTCCTGTGGGGCTCCTGCCCTGGGCTGTGACACGAGGGGTCCCTGTGCCAGGGCAGGGACTTAGATGCTGGTTGCTGGGGACCTGTGTGGTTACCTGGCTCCTGCAGCCCGGGCAGGGTCCTACCTAGCATTTAGGGCCGTGAAGCTGCCTCAGAAGTAGCAGGGTGGGGGGGTTGCTGAGAGGCATGTGCTTGGGACCCCCTGGATGCTGGCCTCAGGGTCCTCCTGACTCCTGACCCTCCTCTGCAGTGATGGAGATGCTGAGGATGGAGAACAGGGCCCCATATGGACGTTCCCCCCCACCATCCGGCCAAGCCCGCACAGCAAGCTGCACAAGGGGACGGCTCTGCACGGCCCCCAGAAGGTGTGGTCCCCCAGACCCTGGCCCCACATGTGCTGGAGGGTGCCTTGTGCTCCCCACAGGCTGCACCTCTCAAAGAGGCCAGAAGTGGGGTGGGAGGTGGAGTGCGCCTGCCCCGGGCACCCACATGCTTCTCAGCCCTGCTCACCCTGCTGTGTCCTTGCTTTTGCAGGCTGCGGAGCCGGTCAAGAGGCAGCCGCGGTCCCAGTGCCTGTCCACACTTGTCCGGCCTGTCTTCGGAGAGGTGAGGGCAAGGCTGGGGGTGTTGTGAGGCAGGGGGCTGTAGCACCCCTTAGGGTTTCCAGGTCTCTGGGAGTTCATGTGGTTTGACCCGTGAGTCGGGCTTTATAGCAGAAGGACTGGAAACAACTGGGACAGGCTGCCCTGACCGGCTCTCCCAAGCTCCCTGGCCTGCCTGGGTTTCCTGGGGTCCCAGGATGGCTGTGAACTGTAAACACACCAGTGACCAGAAGCATCCGGAGGCCTAGTTCTTGCTTCAGGGTGACAGACTCTCCCGTGTCTGTGTTATCTGCTGATGGGCGGTCGGTAGCACCCCAGGAGTACAATGCAGCCAGGAGCCCCCACACCCTGGACTCGGGCCGGCAATGTCATGTGACCAGTTCCCACCCCAGAGTGACACTAGCACCTGGATTCCAGGGGAGGGGGACAGGATTCAGCAGAGCCTCCCCAAGGAAGGTGGGGGCATCTGCGCATGGCAGACACCCTTCGAGTCGCGGGAGCCTGGAATTCGGGGGGAGGTTGGATGGAGCTGGTGGTCACAGGGGCCCTGCAGGAACTTGTACGCTCAGGTTGAGCACTTGGATCGGAGGCTGAGCCCCACGTGGGTAAGGGCCTGGGGGTGGCAGGTGTTGGGGAGGAGGGCCTGGCTGTCATCTCCCAGGCTGCTTGTGGGTTGGCTGGATTTCTAACCAGAACCCTCAGGTACTCAGTGGGACCCAGCCATCCTAGCTTTGTGGTGGAAGGACCGCTGCGGGGGGGGGGCCATAAATGCAAATCACAGGAGAGGGGCTAAGAAGCCTGTAGTGTGAGCCTCTGACCAGGCGCACGTGGTCTGTCCACAGCTCAAAGAGAAGCACAGGCAGAGCGGCGGGGGCGTGGGGGCCCTGGAGGAGCTGGAGAATGCTTTCAGCCTGGCCGAGGAGTCCTGCCCTGGCATCTCCGACAAGCTGATGGCTCACCTGGTGGAGCGGGTGCAGAGGTGAGGGGCGCTGGGAGGGCCCAGGGGTCACTCTTCGCCCCGGCCTCTCTTCCTTTCTGCCTTCTAGCCTCGGGGTTGGACTGGGGAGGACGGTGATTCCTGCCAGCAGTGGGCTGCAATGGGAGATGCCCTGTCCCCTCCCAGGCTCTGTGTTGCTGACCCCTGCCCGAGCCACCTGGTGGCTTTCTGCGGGGCCAGCACTGGAGCTGGGGCAGTGACAGGGCCTCTCTTCTCCAGGTTTTCACACAACAGAAATCACCTGCCGTCCACCCGCTAAAGCTGCTGTTTGTGCAGAGGGGAGAGAGGGGCCTTGTTTTGAGCTCTGTACAGATGCACTGACTTGGAACCCCTTGTGGGACAAGCCCCCCACCTGTGCCGAGGGCTGTCCCGCTTCCACTTCCCTTCCCGCTGGGCTGAGGTCACCTGGCAGCAAAGACTCATGGAGGACTGTGCAGCCCTGGGGGTGGCCGGCGCAGCCTCCTCCACTCCCCTTGGCACGGCCGTCCCCTCCTTGGGCTTGCGGCCACTGGAACTGAGGCGGGGAGGCTGTCGGGCAGATCAGCCTTCTCTGCTCGCCCTTCCTTCCCACCCGGGGCCCACGCTGGCCCACAGTGGTTGTAGATTTGCCTTGTGGTGTTGGATCAGGTACCGTGTCTTCTTGTAAGTACGCGTCAGCCAGAATGTTTAAGAAAACCCAACTTCCTTGCTTCCCCTATACTCTCGAGGTTAAGGTGTTAGTTTTCATAGGACATTGAGAAGCTCCTGCCACTTTCAATAAAGACCTGAATTGAAGGCGTGCTGGTGGTGGGTGGGGACCTGACCCAGGCGAGGTCCCAACAGCCCTGTCTCCCTCTTGGAGTGCCCAGTGCCTGGCTTCTGAGTCGTCACAGCACAGGGTGACCTTGGAGGGACCCAAGACTGCAGAGAGCAGCAGGCAGGCGCAGAAACATGCCCTTTATTTTCATACACACGCACTGGGTGCTAATAAATTAGAGGCCCTTGCCCTCCAGGGCCGCACGGAACTTTGGTTTACACGTCTCTAGAGGTATGTGGGCACCAGAGTGGCTTCTGCTGGACTTTTGTGCAGCTGTGACTCGAGGCCTGTGCCCCACCCCTGGTTGGTCCCGACTGAAGGACAGCAGCCAGTCCTGTGCACAGCTGCAGTGGGTGATGTGGGGCCACCCGGTTCCTGCTCGCAGCAGGTTCTCGGGGCCCTGTTCTCCAAGAGGAGAGGGCAGGGGAGCACCAGCTTGGCTGCTACCTGCAGCCAGGACCACATTTCCACTGTGCTCTTCCCAGGGCCCCACAGGGCCAAGGGACTGCACTGGGTCTTCAAGGGGACAGCGTCCCTCCCAGATGTTACTGTGAGGCCCACCACTGCTGGTCATTGTGGGGAAGGTCTGGGGTGAGCCGTCGTGGGGCCTGTGCTGACTGCTTTGCTTCCTGGGCTGTCCTTGTCCAGGCAGGACGGGCTTCATGCCTCTTCCGCGGGGGCCCCGGCCTTCCCCGGCGAGCTGCTGGCACGCTCAATCACCTCCATCCACCTGTACGAGAGGCTGGCCCGTCAGAACACCCAGTATGCTCCCTTGGGGAGCGGGGCACTTTCTGGCCTGACAGTGGGCTGTGCTCAAGTATCTTCCCAAGAATGACCCAAAATATGTGGTGAATGGGATGAGACAGGGCCGGGGAGAACCTGGGAGGCTGTGTACAGCTCTCCCTTCCCAGGACGGGGAACTTGGCTCCAGCCCCCACGGGGAGCAGGAGAGCCGGGCGGCCCACCACAGTTACCTCCCAAACGTGTACTGGCTCTCGGCCCGGAAGAAGTAGACGTGGGATTTGAACTGCAGCTTGAAGACATTCTCCTTTTGGATGCCATCGGCCTCCCTGGGGACACTCACACTGTAGCCCAGCAGGGGGAGGCTGGCCAGGGGGTAGTCGTCCTGGAAGGGGTACAGCAGGGCTCTGAGGGTGCTCCCTGCCCCGCCCCCCCATGGCAGCAGGGTCCTGGGAGAGGGTAAGATTCAGGAGCTGGACAGAAGCGTGTGGTGGGCAGGTGTCCTCCAGTACCCGGGGGCATGGTCCCCCGGCCGGTCAGCACCCTACCTGGTGTGTTTTGTAGAAGAACAGGCAGAAGTTAGTGAAGACCACCCAGAGCCTCTGCCAGCCGCTGCTGTTCTTGAACTTTCTTAGCAGATACCCTGAGAGCTGGTTCTGAGAGGAAAACAGAGTGTGCTACAGTCTCCAGGCCCCGCCCACCAGGGCCGTCACCCTCCAGCTCCACCTTCCGGGTCTCCTGGGAGCAGGTGTGCTCCCCAAGAATACACCCTCCCTCCTTACAACCGTCACAAACATCCTGGTGTGAGGAGAGGAGCTGTAACATCACAGGGGGCAAAGTCTGGAAGGTTCTTTCACATGCTGGGTGGGGGCAGGGATGTAACTGGCCCGAGCATGGCCTTAGGACTGAGCCACTCTGGTGCTGAGACAAGGCGAGAGGCCTGGCCCGGGGCAGACCACTCTCTGCAGAGCCCCTTCCTCTCGCCCCTCCCACCCTCCTGTGCCCTTGCCTGGGGTGACACAGTCCTGAGCACATCCGTGGCCCTCTCCACCACCAGGTAGGCACCCAGACAGGGCAGCACAGATGGCTGAGGTGTCCAGGCCCATTTCCCCGGCTCGGGGCAGACACCCTGGCTCTCATGCGCCCCGTGTCAGGCCCCACCTGATAGGTGAGCCGGGGCTCTGAACACCTGCGCTGGACTCCGCTCCCGGTGATGGAGGTGGGAAGCAGCACCCCTGGTGACAGGCCCCTTTGAGAGCACTGGGGACACCAGTCTCCTGGTTCTTCCCAGCACATGCTCCGAGTTTTCCTCACTGGGTTGCACATGTCCAGAGGGTGACTGTCACCCCACAGTTCTGGCAAAACCCTTGGGCTGCTGGGCCCCAAGAGACTCCAAACCAACTTCCTGCCCAAAGGGAGAGGCAGCTCCCTGTGGCCTGGCCCAGCCCAGCCACCTGGGACCCCCAGGGTCCCTACCCCCTGCCAGCGCGGGCAGAGGGTGCTCGTGCCAGCTGCCCCTGGTACCTCGACGGCCGCGCTGTGGTCGGCTCTGGAGACGCTGGTGTTGCGGTACCAGCACACGTGCACCGTGGTGTTGGCCCGGTGCTGGTGCTGGCCCTGCCCCTGCCCCTCCGAGGAGCCCTGGGCACCGCGGGGGTCTTCTTCTGATTCCTGCTCCAGAGAGGCCTCGTCGGAGAGCCCTGGGGGAAGAGCCAGCCCTCAGAGGAGGGGACCACCTGGTGCGCGGGCGCTGGGAGCAGGGGAGCTGTGCCTTCCTGCCCAGGTGGAGGGCAGGCGGAGAGCAAAACCGTAGGGGCTTCGGCCAGAAGAGCTGACCTGCCGCCCGGGGCCAGGAGCCTTCCTAGTGAAAGAGCCTGAGGGCTTAGCTGGCCGACAGTGACCATGACCAAGAAAACCAGTTTATAAGAAAGCTTCCTTAGCGCAGGGGTCTCCAGGGGCTCTCGGCCAGAACTCACTGCGGGGAGGAGCGGGCACCGCGCTGCCTGGCAGAGCCAGGGTTGTGTCCCCGCTGCCCTTGGCGGCCTCGATGGCGCTGCTGAGGTCATGCATCCACTTCTCCCTTTCCAGCCGAGTGCTGCGGGGGGGGTGCCGAGGCTCAGAGCTGGCCCACAGGCCCACACAATCTCTCAGAAGGGACAGAAGTTGGGGGTGCCTGTCTCGTGGGTCCAGAGGGCATCCCTCTGGAGGCTCAGGGCAGGATGGCGGGGCAGCACCTTCATGTGGACTGGGGCTCTCTACGGGGTAGTTTGTTCCTGAAACAGATTTTTAGTGTCTCAGCTACAAGACTGGTTGGTTCATGGGTCATTATTTCCTGGGGAGAGCAGGATGCCTGCCAGAGAGGAGAAACTGGCTGGGGACACCTGGCCCCTCCCGAGGAGGGGACGGCACAGCCAGTGCTGATGACCAAGGCAGGGCAGCCCTGTTGCCTTTGAGCTCAGCCCTCCATTCATCTGATGTGGAATAGGGGAGAGTGGTCATTTGCTTCTGAGCTGTGGCCCGTCAGCCTCACACTGCCCAGCTGGAGACTGGGAGGCAGGTGAGGAGGAGCCATGGCATGAGTGCCCTGTCCGGCTCTTCCTGCTAGCCTGCTGGCACTGCCCCTCGACTTGAGTGTGCCAAAGAGCTTGTTCCCTGGTGGCCAGTCGTCCTCGCAGGCCCGTTCTTGTCATATGCTATGAACCTGAGGCGCAGGAAGTGCCACGGCCAGTCTCTGTGGGGACGTTCTCAAAGTCAGGCTTTCCCCCAGCTCCCCACCACTGCAGAAGCAGCACTCAAGGGCACCCGTCACTCCTACAACTATGGGAACGACACTCCCACCCCTCGGAGGGGACTCATTGGGATTCAGACGTGGAAGGGGCTTACCTGGCTGCCACCACGATTGTTTTCTGAGCTGCATAGATAGTGAAACAGTGTGGAACAGACCACTCACTCTCGCTTTCTTCTACCTGTGGGTGGGAGAAGAGGTAGAAGACTGGGCCAGGAGCAGGGCTGGCCGACATCAGCTTGAAGCACACACAGGTGACATAGAAGGTCTGCTGTCCAAGTCTACGCTGACTCTACGAGGGGCTACGGGAGCACGAGGGGTCCCCACTCCATGGCACCTGCCACCCAGGAGGGTGAGTTGTGGGCCACAGGGCACCCAACTACTCACCGGTGGGTCCAGCACTATTAGCTGAAAGTCAAGCACAGGAGAAAGTGTTGAATACTATCATTGTTAACAAAGAAGTTGGAAAATTCATTTTATAAACTTGGCCCCCAAACCTAACAAAGTTAGATTCAAAGGAAAACCTATACAGAGTAATCTTGATTATAAATATCTAAACAAGATAGCTTCAAAATGAAATATTACCTAGTCAAACCTAAAAGCAGGCAGGAAATGGTCCTGCGACCTAGTGCAGTTCTGGGAATGCAAGGACGGTTTGACCTCAGGAGGCTGGTAACAGAAATAACCTTGTCACCATGTCAAAGGGAAGACTGATCATTTCTCTAAATGCTGAAAACAACTTTGCTGAATTCCAACATGTTGTTTCTGAAAGTATCTCTTAGAATCGGAAGGAAACTGTTAACGGGATAAAGGTTATCTTTCTCGAGCCCAGAGTCCTTGACCTTCCTCAGGATCAGCCAGTTACAGAGCAGACAGCTTCCCTGTGCAGGGCCCATGGGATGCCGACCACTGGCCTCACTGGACATAAAAAGCCAAACAGGAGCAATGGCCAGCAGGAGAAGGTTGTCCAGACGTTAGTATTCCCCCAAGTTAATGTATAATTTTAGTTAATTGCTGTATAACATTTCGGTCAACAACAGACTGCACAGATGACGTCGGCCACACGAGATTATAAAGGAGCTGAAACCCCTTATCGCCGAGTGACTCAGTGTCGTGTCAGCACAACACAGGGCTCAGGTCTGCTGACGCTGGTGTAAACAACCCCGCCCGCCGCGTACCCAGCACTGCGATTACCTACAGCACGTAGTGCTGAGTAATGACTATCGTTGGCTTAGGTACTGACTATGTTTCCCATCGTCGTTTTAGACGGTTCCCTTTCTAGGATTAAACTGTAAAACAGCAGCTGTGTTACATCGGCAGCAGCCTTATACATCTCGTGTTTGCCATGTCTCTTGATGTCGTCATTTTCTCGAGCTTGATTTAATTTCCTGTGTGTAGCCTCCACGTGGGGGGTTTACAAGGTCTACAGTGGTGGGCAGTGGTGTCCCAGCCTCAGGCTCAGTCGCCGCCCACGGACTCAGAGCAACCTGCAGCCCTACAGTCTCCATTCATGGTAAGTGCCCTATTCAGGTGAACCATTTTTTGTTGTTTTGTTGTTAATCTTCACCTGAGGATATTCTTTCCACTGACGTTTACAGAGAGTGGAAGGGAGGAGGGAGAGGGAGGGAGAAACATCGATGTGAGATGTGAGAGACACATCGATCAGTTGCTTCCTGCACATGCTCCGACGGGCCGGGGATCAAACCTGCAACCCAGGTACATGCCCTTGACTGGGAATCGAACCTGCAATGCTCCGGTCTGTGGGCTGATGCTCTGAACACTGAGTGACACCAGAAAGGGCCAGGTGTACCATTTTTTATCTTTTTTCCACTTTTATCTTTTACGCTGTATTTTTATAGTACCTTTTCTATGTGTGGATATACAAATAACACCGTGTCGCAGTTGCCTACAGTGTTGAGTACAGTAACATGCTGTACGGGCCTGTAGCCCAGGAGCAGTGGGCTGCACCCCACAGCCGTGGTGAGCAGTGGGCTGAGCCGTCCAGGTTGTGCAGGTGCTCTGACATCCGCACGACCCAACCACAGTGACACACGTCCCAAACACATATCCCAGCCTCAAGTGGCACAAGCCCGCAATGCAATTTCAGTAGAAATCTCAATGCTGTTTGTTGAAGGAATTTGTCAGAATGATTCAAAAGTTTCCTGGAAGAATTAAATATCTAAGAATGGCGAAACACTTTTTAAAGAGGGGGACAAATAAGGGGTGAAACTTAATCCCCCACACAGTGCCTCTCCCGTAAAACACCCCGAACCAGAAGAGTGTGGCTTGATGAGAAACACACTGATGCCCAGAAAGAGCCCAGGTGTGAAAACAAGGGCTGTTTCTATGGTCAAGGCAGCAGAGTGGCCCTCCTGGGTCTTTCATCACATCTCCCACCAAAGGCTCCCTGGGGGCAGCAGGTGGACAAGGTGAGTTGGAGGCTTGTCCCGCAGATGCTGGTGGTAGCCCCAGGGCTGAGTCTGGAGGGGTTATAGGGGGAGCTGTCTGAGCACCAAGAACAGTCACCATAGCAGGTAGACACAGACCAGCAGGAGCTTTTCGGGTAGCCGGGTGTTGGATCCCAATACCCCAGCCGGTTGGTTCCCCAGCACTCACCAGCATGCCGCGCAGCGGGAGGAGGCCCCGGATCCGGAAGTGGCTGGTTCCCGAGACACCTCTGCTCGTGTACAGCAACATATCTGAGAACTGAGCCAGGCAGCTTTAAGTAAATGCATTTTAAAATCAAGTAACAGGGTTTTAACATCTTAACTGCCAGACCAGCTTCAACTCCAAGGGCTCCTATGGGGTTATCAGATCTATTCAGCTTGCTGGAGATTTTTGGCAAAAAGGGGATTTTTATTTCATTCGTATAATTGTTTTTGACCAGAGGTAACTAGTAACCACAGGGACCAGGAGACACCTCGGCCAGTCACCCTGTATCCAGGAGGCTGAGGTCTGGGTCTACTACCTGGATGTGAGGAAGGAGTGATGACAGGAAAGCTGGGGGCAGCAGGGACTTGCTAGGAGGGCCTCAGCTCCCGGAGTCAGAGCCAGAGAGCAAGGCCCAGCGAGGGGGCAGCTCAGCAGGAGCGGACGTCTCTGTGGCCACAGGCACATGGGATTTTCTGTCCACTGACTTTGCTCATCTGCAGACAGTGCCCACAGCCCAGAAAGGAAGGGGCTGGCCCGGCGTGTGTCCTGGGACTCTGGCTTGGCTCCTGTCTTCTTGGAGGCCGCCCACCAGCCCAAAGCCCCGGCACAGCCGCCTACACCTACCAGGAAGAACATCCTCTGCTGCAGGCCCCTCCTGGTGAGCTTGTGCAGGCAGCCCTCGCGGACAAACTCCTGGAAGACACAACAGATCCTACAGGGTGTGCGGCCCAGGGCCACCGTGGTGGCGGGTTGCAGGGCCAGGCCGCTGATGTCACACATACACTTCTCTGAGCTCCCGGACGAGCCCCTCACTGTCCAGCCCTTCACTGGCACTCTCCTGCCCAGATGCCCATGGACCCTCCATGCCTGTCTCCCTTCCTCCTTCCTGCCTCTCCTCTTGGTCACCCCGTCCTGTCTGGGCACCAATTAACTCAGTCCCCAACCGTCTGCTGAGCACCTGGCCTCATCTCACGGCAGACCAGCTATGCTAAGGGCTGTTGTGCAAAGCAAAGCCTACTGCTCTTATTGGGGAGGAGTTTCTGGAAGGTTCAGCCTTGGAAATGACATGAGTTTAACTGCGAAAAACTGGGTGGGAGCAGGTTGAGGATGGGAGGGAAGAGGTGGGCACGCCTGGTGCCCCCTGAACATGGGCTCCTGTTAGCTGTGCATCGCATTTTACAAAGGCTTTCCGGCTGCAGAAAGGAGGCACTGGTGGGGCTGAAGCTGCTGTAGGACCGTCCAGCTGTGACCCAGAGACTCCAGGACCCCCAGCAGCAGCGCCTCTGCAGCACCCCTGCCCCAGGGGAGTGCATCCCAGACCCACAGGCATCTCCCCTGGCTGGGCCCCTTCTAGCCCTCGTGGGCCCTGCTTCAGTTAGCCCCCTGGATACTTGATGCTTCTTCTATACCTTTGTACCTGGTTATCCACTTTCTACCTGGCTGACAACCCTCTGAAATTCTTCTGCTGAAATACCTGGTAGGGTCTGTCTCTGACCGACACACATATTTAACTCAGGAGCCCAGGAGCCCTGGGTTACACAGAGAGGACTTCAGAGGTCTAACAACCATCATGGCAGCAAACGTCTGTGCAGCACCTACCTCCCGCAAGGCACTGGCTGAGCAGGTGAAACTGGTCCTGTCAACCCCAGGACCCCCTCTCAGAGAGATGGAGCCCAGTCCCTGTGGCCATAGGCAGCCTGGACTCCAGCCTTGGCCCCAGAGCCCACTGACCTCTGCTCTATGCGGCTGCTCCTGTTTATCAGTTCCTTTGATGACGGTCCCCTGGGGCCACCATCTCTAAGGCACTGTGTGGGGCACTGGGAGAAACAAGGTGCAATGAGCCCTGCCGACCTCCAAGGGCTCCCAGCCAGCAGCACCGCCAGGTGGAGCCACATGGAGCCACACGGTCAAGGAGAGACAGGAAACAAAGCTGTCCTGGTCAGCAGTGCAGACCTCCTGGATATTTTAGTCCTAGTTCGCTTCTTTGAGCGTGTGGCCTCACGTTCTCACGAGGCTAATGCAGAAACGGATTTGCACCCCCATACAGGCATGTTTGGGTTGAGACAGGAAACATCCCCAAGCAACTCATCAAACACGTTTCTTTTGCTGGCAGTGCTGAGTTCAAAGCAAAAGGCGGAGTGACAGAAAGTAAGCAGCCCGGCAGACACAGGCACATCGGGCAGAACTGAGATTCAGAAATAAACTCAAGTGGTGCTGGGACAACTGGATGTCCACGTGGAAAAGAGTGAAGCTGGGCCCCGACCTCCTACCACACACAAAAATGAACTCCAAACGGAACAAATCCAAATGTAAGAGCCAAAACATATAAAACTTTTAGAAGAAAACATGGGGGTAAAGTTCGCACCTTGGATTAGGCAATGGTTTCTTAGCTATGATGCCTAAAGCACAACCACCAAAGCAAAAACAGATAAATTGGACTTCATCAAAATTAAAAACTTTTGTGTTGTAAATGATCCCATCAAGAAAGTGGGAAGACAACCCACAAAAACGGGAGGACATTTCCACATCACATTCTGGTATCCGCAGTAGAGGAAGAACCCACAACTCAGAGGAAAAGGGCCGACATCACAGTGAAAAGGTAAGCCAAGGGTCAGAACAGGCATTTCTCCAAAAAGAAACACGTGGCCAATAAACGCAAGCATGCCCGGCACCAGCCATCAGGGAAACACGGACAACCACAAGATGCCGTGACACCATCGTGGCTAGAACTGGAAAGCAGAAAATATGGAGAAAGTGGGACCCTCGTCACTCCCGGTGGGAACGTAAAGCAGGGCAGTCACTGGAGAACTACGGCAGTTCCTCAAAACGTTAAACCCGGTATTACCCCCAACCTAGGAATCCCACTCCCACATCCAGGAGAACTGGAAACACTTGTCCACACAGGACCTGTACACGGTGTTCGCAGCAGCATTAGTGACAATAAACAGAAAGTGACAGCCACCCGATGCCTGTCAACAGATGAAGGACAAGCAGAATGCGGTATGTCCAGAGAGCGGAGTACTACGCAGCCAGAAAAAGGAACGAAGCACTGACATGCTCCAGGGTGGATGCACCCTGAAGACAGGACGTTGAGTAAAAGAAGCTGGACACAAAGGCCACGTACTTTAAGGTTCTATTATAAGAAATGTCTAGAAAAGGTAAATCCAGAGACAGAAAGTAGGTTAGCAGCTACTAGCCCAGGGAGCGGGAGGGGGAGCGACTGCTAACAGGTTTGGGGGTCCTTTTTGGAGGGACAAAATGTTCTGGAGTTAGACAGAGGTGATGGTGGCACAACCTTGTAAATACACTAAAAACCACTGGATCGCACACTTTGAAAGGGTGAATTCTGTGGTATGTGAATTATATCTCAACCAAATCAATGAAGTAACCAGCTCAGAAAACATTCTCACTCACCCTGCCCGGAGCGATGAGGTTCTCGATGCCGACCAAGTCCCGCTGCAGCTCCGTCAGCTTCTGGAGGTTCTCCAGCCGGACGAGGCTGTGCTGTAGCGTGGAGGTCACCTCCGTGATGACCGTGAGGGCGTCTGTGCGAAGAGACCCCTCGGTACAGGCACCCAGGCAGGTGGCCGGGGGTGGCACAGACCACTCCCCCCCAACCAGGACTACTTTGTGATAGGAACTGGCATTTTTTATTTTTAAAATCCTCAGCCAAGGACACGCTCCCATTGATTTTAGGTGAGAGGGAGAGAGGGAGAGAGAAACATCGATTGGTTGCCCCCGACGCATGCCCTGACAGGGGATCGAGCCAAAACCTGGGCATGTGCCCTGACCGGTACAGGACGACACTCCAACCCCGAGCCACGCCGGCCAGGGCGGAACTGGCATTTTAAAAAGCACTTTTAATTCAAGGAACGTTCTACTCAAACTCCAGCTGCAGTTCCTGACTGCCAGGCACAGCAGGTGCGGGTTCCTGCAGATGGCTCGAAACGTGGATTTGTTCAGCCCAAACGACTGCGTAGCCGGCACTCAGGTGTGGTCAAGAGAAAGAACAGTCTTTCTCTGTAAAGAACAAATCTCAGGCAAAGCAGCACTTGTTCTTTACGGAAAATCACTTACTGTGGTTTACAGTCTAAATAATCCGCACCTTCAAAGCATCTGTAAATTTGCTCCTTCAATGGAGCAGACACGAACCTTACAGTTCAAGCCGTTATGAAAATTTAGAATCAGGAAGGAAAACGTATTCCCACGAAACACAAAATCAGACATTGAGAGTGGTCTTCAGAGACCAGGCCACGCGGGAGCAGCTGCTTGGCCAGTGCCCCCTGAGGTCCCAAGAACCACTGGAGACGTCCACCCCAGCCAACACGGCGAGTCTGGAAAGTGAGGTCTGTGACCGCTGGCCCGGCCCCTTCGGGGGAGGGCACACCGCCCGCCCCAGAGCTTGAGGAGGACGGGTTGGGATTAGGAAGCTCGTGGAGCTGAGCTGCTCCTTCATAAGTGACACCTCACGGGAGCCCCGGTGATGCTCCCACAGGCCGCACACCTGGGGGTGGCTCTGTACAGACTCCCGAGCGCTGGCGCCTCTCTGGCCTTGCCGCCCTCAGGGCCCAGCTCAAGTCCCAGGGTCATGCTGTCGGCAGAAACCCTTCGCTCTGCTTGTTCATGGGGGCTGCCTGGCCCCCCGTGTCTGCCCTGGACGGTACCCAGAGCCGCCTGCCCTTGGACGCCGTGTGTGCGTGGAGCGCAGGGCGCAAGGCCTGGCTGTGGGCTCCACGCTGCCCTTGGGCGGGCACTGGAGGGTGCCGGGTGCTGGGCATGCACTTCGGACCTGGCGCAGGGCTGCTGCATGCAGTACCCCCCGCGCCTGGGTCTCCCGGAACCAGCACGGTGTTGAAAGCCATCCACACACACGCAGCCCCTGTCCTGCCCGGGCACAGCCCTTGGGAAACCCCTACGGAATGAAGGGTGAAATTAGGGTGCAAAGCCAACTTCTCCAAGCCCCAACCCAAAGGTGCCTCCGTGTCAACAGGTTCAAGCTCAACTCCTGGGAAGAACAAGGGGCTGGTAACACCTGCACCCCAAGGGGCCTTCCCTCCTGGCCCTATGGGTGTGGGGTCAGGTGGGAAGGGGCTCCCACGGCTGTGGTTGGCTGAGACCTCAAGACGGCTGAGCAAACCCATCCAGCTGCCAGTTATCAGCCCCACGTGGCGTCAACAATTCACAGAGCGCTTTCAGAAGTGCAGCCTCGTTTCGCTTCTGGGCCAGCCCTTGAGGTGGCTTCACGATGGAGCCTGAGCAGTGAGTGCACCCTGCTGGGCATGGCCTCCCTGTGACCTGGCGAGGGGCCACCCGCCCCTCCCAGCCCTGCCCCTGGTGCGGGAGAGGCTGACGGTGGGCAGCATGGCAGCATTTTAAATGGGCTGCACTTTTTTATTTCCCTGAAAAGGCTTGGAAGTATTTTTGACAATTTTGTCTTTTCCTTTTTAGCAAACAGGAAACACTTGCTTTGAGAATGAAGCAGCCTGGCCGGCGTGGCTCGGGGGTTGAGCGTCGACCTGTGAACCAGGAGATCGGGGTTTGACTCCCGGTCAGGGCACAGGCCCGGGTTGCGGGCTCCATCCCCAGCTGGGAGCAAGCAGGAGGCAGCCGATCCGTGACTCTCATCATTGATGTTTCTCTCTCTCTCTCTCTGAGATAAAAAAATATATATTAAAAAATAGAAAGGAGCTGTCAATATTGTTATGACCCATTTTGCTTCTCATATGTCAGAAAGCATCTCATTTAGACCCATTTATGACGATGGGAGACCAGCTAGGAGGAAGTGCTAGTCTTGCATCTTTTACTTTTAATGACGACGGTGAATTCACTTGTAAAAACCTTCCGATAGACAGTCATTTCCTGCACGAAATTTAACAGACTAGAGGGGATACTGTGCGTTAAAATGTCAGGATTATTCCTTTGTTCCTTTAACACAAAAATGACAAAGTCCATCTATGTCAGAAACTTCTAACAGGCCACCCAGGACCAAAGGTTTGAGTTTTAGAGTCATGGCTTCCAGGGCAGCATGCCTCCAGGTAGCGGTCAGTCTGGGGCTCACTCCAGCCCCCGAGCATTGTAGGGGCTCTGCCTTGGTCACAGCGTCCACCCCCTGGAACCCCCAGGACACTACGCTGTTCAGATCTGGAGCGGATCAGGGCCTTGCCTGGGACGGAAGAGCTGCTCGGACTCAAAGCTGCTGGCCTCCGTCCGCCGGAGGGGAGGAGTGGGCAGTGGCCAGCTCTGCCCCCTGCAGCCTCGGCCCTTCTGGTGGAGCCCACACGCCCTGCGCTTCCCAGGGAAGGGAGCCAGCGGGGTGGCCTACTCACCGCGGCAGTCGGCGTAGTCGGGGTGCCCGGGCGCGTAGAACCCACACAGCCGTCTCAGCAGCAGGCGGTAGTGCACCAGCCGCTGGATGGGCTTCAGCAGGAACGTGTTGAGGGGCAAGTAGCAGACCTTCTGGAGCTCGAACTCTCTGTACACCGTCTCCAGCTTCTTGAGGCGCTTGGTTGCCTTTTCCAGCTCCGTCAGGACCTCGTCGTGCCTTTGGAAGCAGCCGGTAAACTGCTGTTGAGGCACAAAGGGGCCCTCGGGTTAGGAGGCCGGGCAGAGGGCGCAGGCGGCGAGTGGCCCGTCGGGGTGGCATTCCCAGCGTGGCCCTTGCACACCAGCTGGAAACCCCAATGGGGCAGAACAGAGAAAAGTGGCCCAGGGAGTGTCGGCCGGGGCTCCTCCGCCTCCACGGAGGCCGCACTGCCCCACCTGAGGCTCTACCCAACCGGAGGGCGCAGGGCTGGCCCACAGCCGCCCTCGCCGCTGACCCGCCTCCAGTCCTGTGAGGTGAGTGGACAAAGGGCGTTACCTGCGCTTTACGAATGAGGAACCGAGGCGGAGAGTCTGCAACTCGCCTCCGGTGACAGAGCAAGTGAGCTCCGGGCAGGGAGTAAACGGGCCATGAGCAGGCCCTGCCCCGGCCCCTGGAGGCCGCTGCCGGCCACGGGCCACACTCCAGAGCAGGCAGAGCGGCCGGTCAGCCACCCAGAGAGGGGGCTGGTTATCCCTGGCCTTTCAGAGCACAGGTCACAGCGCACATGGACTTGGAGCGTTTCACCATCACATCAAACCCAACTAGTCCCTGCCTTCTAGGTTTCTAATATTCAGTCGGTTTGTTTTAATGAACATTACAGGTGACCTGTGTGGCATGAGCTCAATCCAACAGATTTAGGAGTATTTTGATTTAAAATTTTTGTAAGTGCTTTTGGGATCGGTAGCACTTACTAATGAACCTGGCTCAGAAAACCAACAGTGTCAGGGTGGAACACGGCTCTGAGCGGAACCGCGCTCTCCGAGCTGGGCCCTCTGGAGACAGAAGCAAGGGGCCCTGCAGTCCCTCAGGTTTCCATGGATGGACTGGGGCCTGGACGTCCGGCTGGACTGGGCAGGACGTGGGACAGGCCTGGGGCGCAGGTGCCGCAGAGGCTGGGGAACCTGGAGAGATGCGCGCGGGTCGGAGATGGCGGTGGAGGGACTCGGGGTCTCAGGGTGATGCCAGGGAGCTTCCAGGACTGGCCGTGGGCAGGAAAGGCCAGTCCCTGGTCTGTTTAGCAAGAGTAAGACCCCTGGGCGGCGAAAGCACAGCCCGTCGGTTCCAACACCTGTGATACCCAGTCCTCAGGAGAAGTCCTCCCGCCCCCACGCTGCCGACGGGAGCCGCTCCGTCTGCACCTTCCTCGCACGTTTTCTTCATGACGCTCCATAGCCTCTGAGGAAAAGACCTGAACCAAGAGCCCAGAAAGAGTGGAAACCAACCCCCAAAACCCCGACAGGCTCTGAGCGGCCGCTCCAGGCTGGTGAGCTGAGCAAGGGCCACGGCCCTGCCCGTGGCCGGGGGCTGGCGGCCAGTCCTGAGTCACAGCCGGGCCTCGGGAGCAAAGCCCAGCACAGGCGTCCCCGCGAAGGCCTTGAGGGCACAGCGTCCCGAGGACAACTGTGCTTAGAAATCAGCTCTCCAGGGGAGCAGGGTCCCCGGGGGATGACACTGAGGGTCGTCACTGCTCCCACTCGAGCGCTGTCCTGAGGAAAATGCATTTAAAAACACTTATTTTTAATCCTCGCCTGAGGATTATTTTCCGTTGCTTTTCAGAGAGT